ACCTCACCCCCCAGTCTGTACTGATGGTGAGGATTGTTCTGGCCCAGGTGCAGAACCTTGCATTTGCTCTTGTTGAACCTCATGCGGTTCACCTGGGCCCACCTCTCCAGCCTGTCCAGGTCCTTTTGGATGACATACCATCCCTCTGGTGTATCGACAACACCACACAGCTTGGTGTCATCCGCAAACTTGCTGATGGTGCCTTTAATCCCCCTGTCTATATCATTGATAAAAATGTTAAACAGTGTTGGCCCCAGCACGGACCCTTGAGGAACACGTGGAACTGCAGGGGAACGCGGTGCTGGCCCGGGTTGCCTCCCTCATTCCTCACCTGGCTTTTTTCATCTGTGTTTTCCCTTTTTTTTTTTTTTTTCCCCCCAGTATTACGTGTACGAAGTGTCCGATGGCAGCGCTGCCGAGCGGCCCCGGCAGATCTGCCCGTACATAGTCATCACCTGCCAGTACAGGGAGCCAAAGGAAATGCCTGTCTTATCTCTGGAGAGCCTGTAAGCAACTCGTTGTTGTTTCAAAATACCCAGCCACTTTTATGGGCTGTTTTCCCTCTTCACGTTGCTAAATATTCCTCTTTTTTTCTCCCTTTTTCTCTAGGCCTGAGCTTAATCACAAAGGTAGGAGCGTCTGCTGGTTGGTTTGTTTTTTATAAACGTGCCTTTCTCTCTTTGCCCTCTTCTTCTGCTTTCCCTGAGCCTTTCTCCCTTTTGCCTGTAGCCTTGTACTGTCCTTGGAGGGGACAGCTCTCCATCCGGGGTCAGCGTCTCTGCAACATCGCCCTGAGGACCCCCTACAGCTCCACGATTCCAGCCCAGCTGTAAGTTGCCCTTTTCTCTTCTTTCTTTGGGTAATTTGTGGAGCGTGGAGCGTTATAGAATCACAGAATCATCTAGGCTGGAAAAGACCCTCGGGATCATCGAGTCCAACCATCTACCCTACTCTAAAGTTCTCCCCTACACCACATCCCCCAACACCACATCTAAACGGTTCTTAAACACAGCCAGGGATGGTGACTCAACCACCTCCCTGGGCAGCCTATTCCAATGCCCAACCACTCTCTCCTTGAAGAATTGTTCTGTTGTTGGAGTGTTGCTGCACTCCATCTGGCAGCTTTCACCGATCTCCCAGTCTACCACTGTTCCTCTGGATGGTTTATACTGGAGGAGAAAGATAAGTGAAAGCCATGGCGTTGCCCACAGTCAGTCTGGTTTCCAGTACCACCCTACCCTCTTCTGCTTTCCCTGAGCCTTTCTCCCTTTCACCCGTAGCCTTGTACTGTCCGTGGAGGGGGCAGCTCTCCATCCGGGGTCAACGTCTGTGCAACATCGCCCTGAGGACCCCGTACAGTTCCACAATTCCAGCCCAGCTGTAAGTTGCCCTTTTCTCTTCTTTCTTTGGGTAATTTGTGGAGCGTGGAGCGTTATAGAATCACAGAATCATCTAGGCTGGAAGAGACCCTTGGGATCATCAAGTCCAACCATCTACCCTACTCTAAAGTTCTCCCCTACACCATATCCCCCAACACCACATCTAAACAGTTCTTAAACACAGCCAGGGATGGTGACTCAATGCCCGACCACTCTCTCTGTGAAGAATTGTTTCCTAATGTCCAGTCTAAACCTACCCTGGCGCAACTTGAAGCCATTACCCCTTGTCTGGCAGCTTTCACCGATCTCCCAGTCTACCACTGTTCCTCTGGATGGTTTATACTGGAGGAGAAAGATAAGTGAAAGCCATGGCGTTGCCCACAGTCAGTCTGGTTTCCAGTACCACCCTACCCCAGGTCTTTCACAGCCCAACTGCCTCTCCCATGCCTTCCACAGAAAAGCTCCCACATTAGCATGCCATAATTTAAATTGAAAGAGGGGAGAGTAAGATCACAGAATCATCTAGGCTGGAAGAGACCCTCGGGATCATCGAGTCCAACCATCTACCCTACTTTAAAGTTCTCCCCTACACCATATCCCCCAACACCACATCTAAACGGTTCTTAAACACAGCCAGGGATGGTGACTCCACCACCTCCCTGGGCAGCCTGTTCCAATGCCCAACCACTCTCTCTGTGAAGAATTGTTTCCTAATGTCCAGTCTAAACCTACCCTGGCGCAACTTGAAGCCATTACCCCTTGTCCTATCATCTGTAACTTGGGAGAAGAGACTCATCCCCACCTCTCTACACCCTCCTTTTAGGTAGTTGTAGAGAGTGATAAGGTCTCCCCTCAGTCTCCTCTTCCCCAGACTGAACAACCCCAGCTCCCTCAGCCACTCCTGCAGATCATTTTGGGATCACCTTTGGGTGGCCATGTACCTGCCCTGTCCCTTCATCAATCAGCATCTTCTTGCAGCTGCAGCATCGGGGCAATCATCAGTGTCAGGAAAGTGGTGTTGGGCGGCCAGCGGTGGGGTTGTCACAGCACCAGCTGGATGAGGACATGAGACCAGGCCCTGAACCTGCAGCTGGACACGGCTGCGTTTTGTCATCTCTTTTTTTGTTAACTGCTTTGGGATGTTTTGGGATGTCTTCAGTAGTCAGAAGACAACCAGCAGGCAGCAATTTGAAACCAGCCAGTGACAGCCAGTAACACAACCACCAATATCAGTGTTTGGGGGTGCTTCCAAGCAAGATCCTCAAATGGCTAAGTGCTAGGCAAGCTGTGCCTTCTCCAGCCTTCTCCAGAACTGTTTGCTCTGGTTTCACAGTGACAGAGCCACGGGGCTCTTTGCTATGCTTAATTCTGGGAGCCTTTTAATGCTTGTGCTCTCACCTTCTGCCACTTTATCCCCCCAGGCCTCCCAACCTGGATGTTAACCATGTCATGGGTTTGTCTGACTTGAAGAAAAAGCTACCAGAAGCTGCATTTGGGAAAAGAAATTACGTTGAGAATGAAGGTGAGTGCAAAACCCACTGGTGTGATGAGGAACATCTGCTTGTGCTGTAGGAGTTGCCATGGGGGAGGTCAGAGCTCAGGTCCACATAGTGCTGGGTCCTGTCTTGAAGGGTGGTGGGTTGCAAATAAGCGAGAAAAAATGCCAAGGCAGCACGGGGATGTTCTCCTGTCCACACTTTACGTGTTCTCCTGGTGTGATATAGTCCTTTTCTCAAAGCAGCCCTTTAATCAGCCCGTTCCTGGGACAGAACAGGGTTGGGACATCATGTTTTGAGACCTGGGGTCCCCTCCTGCAAGGTGACAAACGTGGTGCTATTGAGAGAAAATGCAGGGTGACAAACTTTTGCCCTTCTCACATGGTCTTCATACAGGGTGAGGGACACTCCACCTCCTGGGGTGTGACCCAGGGTCTCCTGCATCTGGGTGGGTGGGGGTAACTTCCAGCCAAAAAGCCGAAAACGATGTGGGTGCCTGCAGTAGCTTTGGGTCATGGGTGACCTATTTGTCACTTCAAGTGGACTGACAGTGACAGTGAATGGCAGTGTGAGAGGAAGAGAGGGCTCCACAAACCTTGGGGAGGGGCAGGCTTTTATCAGCTTTTACTTTTCTTTATCAGCAAATAAAAGCACAAATCTGGGGAAAGGAGAAGGGCTCTACTGTCCCCTCAGTGGTGGAGGAGCTGTTTATCAGGGAGTGTAGCTGGACTGGATGAGGGGGAACAGTTTTAAACTGAAAGAAGGGAGATTTAGATGAAATCTCCGGAGGAAATTCTTTACTGGGAGGGTGGTGCGACACTAGCCAAGGCTGCCCAAGAGAAGCTGTGGCTGCCCCATCCCTGGAGGGGTTCAAGGACAGGTTGAAGGGGGCTTGGAGCAACCTGGTCTGGTGGGAGGTGTCCCTGCCCAGGGCAGGGGGTTGGAACTGGATGATCTTTAAGGTCCCTTCCAACCCAAATCATTCTATAATTCTTGGTCCTAGGAGACCTTGCTTGCCTGTAGTCAGCCACATTCTGTCCCAGTGGAGGGTGGAGAAGAGAGGACCTTTGTCTATTTACACTGCAGTGTTCGTCTTGCTGATTGCTTTTTAAGTTAGAGTTTTGATGAGCCTGGCAGCTCTCAGCTCCAAGGTGATGGCTGTTTGCGGCTACGTTAGGCAGCAGACACACAATTACTGACACAGATACCACAGGTTGCACCTGGAGAGCTCTGGGTGTGATTTGCAGAAGCTCCAGGTGCCATCTCCATGTCACCTTGCACCAAAATAAGTGTGGACAACTACAGTGCTGCCTCCCATAGAATCATAGAATGGTTTGGGTTGGAAGGGACCTTAAAGATCATCCAGTGCCACCCCCTGTCCTGGGCAGGGACTCCTCCCACCAGACCAGGTTGCTCCAAGCCCCCTCCAGTGTGGCTTTGAACCCCTTTAGGGATGGGGCATCTACAACTTCTCTGGGCAACCTGTTCCAGTGTCTAATCACCCTCACAGCAAAGAATTTATTCCTAATATCTCATTTAAATCTCCCCTCTTTCCATTTAAACTGTTCCCTCTCATCCTATCACTCCACTCCTTGATCAAGAGTCCTTCCCCATCTCTCCTGTATGGACCCCCAATCTGTGTATCAGCTCTGTTGAGCCAAGTCAGGGTGTGGATTGGTCCAGCTGATGTAGCCAGACTGTTTTGGGGGTGTGCATTCAGCTCACAGCCCAGATGGACACAGGATGGTGCCCAGGGCAGGGGGGGAGGCAGAAGAATTTGGGGGAGCCCACAGCAACACTTGACAAAGGTGCTGTGGAGCTGCAGTCTTCCTGGTGAAAAAGAGGAAATGCTTGAACTGAAGCATTTTGCTGTGAGATTCAGGAGGGGTTAATGTTGAGACTGAGATCTTGCATTTCTTAAACTCCCTTGGGGATCAGAGTGCAGAATAAGGATACTCCATGGCAGGGGAGATTATGGCATTTTAGAATAAGGTATTTCCCTCTGAAAAACTCCCTGCTTCTGTTAACAGCGCTGGTTAAATTGCTTTTGTTAGCTGCAGAGATAAGATAGGAAACATCTCCTGTGAATCACGGGTTGAAGAGGAAACTCACTGTGATAGAAGTGTATGTAACAGGCTAGAAAATCTTGATAAGTTGTTTGTTTGTTTTGTTTTTTTTCTTTTAAAGCTTTTTTTTTCTTCCACCAATTGCGTACCCGTCTTCCTGGTACAGAAGCACTTTGTTTGTTTGGAGTTCATGCAAGAGGCACTATTTCAACATCACATTCTCTCTCTTTTGTCTGCAGTCTGCTTTCAGGGTGTCTACTTCAGTCTGTACGAAGTAGAAATATCAAATAAGGATCAATATAAAATGGATCAGTTAATAGAAAATCTAAAGGAAAAAGACTTGGTAAGTGTTCTAAAATATTGTCATTCTGGGAGGACCGTGGCTATGTTTATGCCAGATGAGTTTATTTGATTGTCTTTATTAATGATTTTCCCCCTTGCACTGCAAACAGGATGGTGGACGAGGACTACAAGGGGATCTTAGCTATTTAAGAAAGCGGAAGCAAAATCCCCCATTGCCAAAATGATAATTGCTAAGAAAAAGACATAAACCAGCTGAAAAATAGCCCCCACTCAAGTAGATACTCACACTTGTGCTTCCAGGAGTTCTGAAGGTGTTGAGATTTATCCCTTTTTTAATATGAAATTCCCCTTACGATATATTATCTGATAAGGCTTTCATTTTTTCACCACACCGGGCTGTTTTTGTTCCCAGTGAGATTGTCACGTCTCCTTGTGACCCCAAGGGACAAACCTCACCCCTGTGGAGCACAGCACCTGTGTCTCTGCTGGGATTTGTGGTTCTGTTGGGTTTGGCTTTGCTGCTGCTGGTTGCTCTCCTATGTCTGGTGCTTCTTGTAGATTCGGGGTTGTAAATTCACAGCCACAAAGTCGGAGCTGGCTCTGGGCATGTCCTCTCCTCGATATAAGTTGGCAGCAGCCCATGAACTGCCTGGAAGTGCTGTTGATCTGCGGCGCTGCTGAGGAGCTGCCCCACCAATGTAAAGCTTCCCTGTGTCCAGTTCTGGGCTCCTCAGTTCAGGAAGGACTGGGAACTGCTGGAGAGGGTACAACGGAGGACCACAAAGATGATGAGGGGCCTGGAGCATCTCTCCTACAAGGAAAGGCTGAGGGACTTGGGTCTTTTTAGTCTGGAGAAGAGAAGACTGAGGGGGGATCTCATCAATGCCTGTAAATCCTTCAAGGGTGGGTGTCAGGAGGATGGGGCTGGTCTTTTTTCAGTGGTGCCCAGGGACAGGACAAGAGGGAACGGGCACAAACTTGAATATAAGAAGTTCCATCTAAACATGAGGAGGACCTTCTTTGCTGTCAGGCTGTCAGAGCCCTGGAACAGGCTGCCCAGAGAGGTGGTGGAGTCTCCTTCTCTGGAGACATTCAAAACCCACCTGGACGCATTCCTGTGGGACCTGCTCTGGGTGGATGTGCTTTGGCAGGGGGTTGGACTAGATGATCTCCAGAGGTCCCTTCCAACCCCGTATCATTCTGTGATTCTGTGATATGTAATGTAAAAGAGTGATTTTGTTGTGGGTTGGTAACAACATTAGAAGGAAAAAAGGGGGTAGCAAAGGCAATCTTCAACACCTGCCTGAGAATTGTCTCGTCGGTGAGAAACAGCAGCTATTTCACTGAGCTGGATTTATGCAGCAGAGATGTTGGCTCTTAGTCCCTCTGCTCTGCTGGCCTGGGACAACCAAAGCAAGGAGCTGCTGTTCTGAGTAGTGAGTATTACACTGGAATTGTTCAGCATTTCCAAAGTTGTCCTGGAGAAATGAGGCTGTGGGCGTTGATCCAATCCCTTCTTACGTCTGAATTTATTGAATGGGATCAGTGAGGCTTCACAGAGCATTAGAAGCCCTACGGATAGTCAGTTCCTGTAGGTTTCCGGAAAAAATGTGTCTGTGTGGAAGAAAGAGATCCAAAAGGGTGTCCCCACAGAGGGAAAGGCAGTCCAAGCCAAGCTCTGTGATGAGGCATCAAGCAACACCCAGACGCAAGAAAAGCCTCGATAAGTGCACGTATCTTTTCAGACATGCAGTCATCCAGCTCCGAGACAGTCCAAGGCGTTGCTTAGACTCAGCATTTTATTTTATTTTTTTTTTTATTCATTGGTACTGATGCTGCTAAAAAGTGAGCTGCATGGCCTGAACTTCAGTCAGGCTGGAAAAATCGTTTTTATCAGATGCTGGTGTCCAGCTTTGCTTTCCCTGCTGGGAAAACCTTCCCCTTGGGCTTTGGGAAGCAGTTCCTGGCTGAGATGTACAGGAGCTTTTGAACTGAAAGCACTAAAATTATTAACCTTGTTCATTAATTGCAGCTAGTTTTGCTGAGCGTATTTATTTTTTTAAGGAGCCAGATGGGAGAAATTTGAGAGCTGAATAACAACAGAAATGGAACGCTTTTGATTACAGGTCCCGGTTGGCCCGAGTGGCATGAAAGGAACAGTGTCCTCCTCAGTGGGGAAGGAGCTGGTGGTGTTGGCACCCATTCACCAGCAATCAAGGCTTGTCCACGGTTGTGCTGAGTGATATAAAGTGTGCTAAGGAGGAAAGGGAGTGGTTGCTCTAACTTTGTATGTGTTTCTTGTAGGCAATCATCAAATATTTACAAGACCAAGGAGTCCTTATCCTCCTCACGTCTTCTGCCTTGGCACGAGATGATGGTGAGACCATGGTGGCTACATAGAAACCAAAGTCTGTGCTTAAACATCCTGCTCCGTTTTAGAAACAGAGGGATGGACACCCTCAGTCTAAACAAAACCTGTTGCTTTTTTTCCTAGGGTTTGACCCCAAGGAGCCTGTCAGCCTCCTGGCCCTGTTTCTGTTCACCTCGTCCCGGTCGGTGTCCCTCAGAGGTAGGGAGGTTTCCTTTGCTGGCTTTGGACACTGTGTTTTGGGGGTGAGATCCTCACCAGAGGGTCCTCACGGATATATTCCTCTTGAAAAACTGATTTCTCTGCTCAGAACCACCTACAGCTGTAGAGTAAAGGGTGTAAAAAGAGGAGAGAAAAGTCTTGACTCTAGCTGTGCTGCATTTTGGTGGATGAGAAGCTCAACACAAACCACCAACGTGTGCTGGTAGCCCAGAAAGCCCCCCACATCCTGGGCTGCATCCCCAGCAGCGTGGCCAGCAGGGCAAGGGGGGATTCTGCCCCTCTGCTCTGGGGAGACCACCCCCAGTGCTGCCTCCAGCTCTGGGGCCACCAACATCAGAAGGGCATGGAGCTGTTGGAGCGGGGCCGGAGGAGGCCACGGAGATGCTGGGAGGGCTGGAGCCCCTCTGCTGGGAGGGGGGGCTGAGAGAGTTGGGGGGGTTCAGCCTGGAGAAGAGAAAGCTCCAGAGAGACCTTAGAGCCCCTTCCAGTCCCTCAAGGGGCTCCAGGAGAGATGGGGAGGGACTCT